CCATCAAGTTTTATTACTATAAATGGACAAAATCAGAATTATCATTGGCTGGAGGGTGTGTCACCTAGCATGCCAATGTATTATCATGAGTTTATAATGAGGGGCAAAGTTGGGTAGCAGGCAAATTAATTGTCATTTTTGGTTCTAGTTGGCTCTAGCAGGTTCTTTTTAAAAAATTTTTTATAAATATATTTTAAATCATTTTAAGAAACCCATTTTTATTGTATTTTGTATGTAAGTAATTATACTAAATTTAATTTTATGTTAATTTTACCCCCACCCACAATCACCTCACCTTAATTCCCTGAATATAATGGCAACTATAAAAAATGAAAAATCATTTTCTAATCTCGTCTAGCCAGTTCTTAACCACATCCTGTTTTCCTCTGTGAGAGCTTAGAAAACCAAGCCATCCATGCCATGCACCTGTCTAGAGAAACTGTCTTGAAAAGTTAGCCTTGTTTATCCTGAGAAACTAGTCCTGCCCAATTCTGATCACAGCAGCACTTGATATTGTCAGGTTTTTTATTCCTTCAGTTTAGCCATTATAAGAGCTATGTAGTGGTATCTCTTTGTGGTTTTAATTTGGATTAATGATAAATGATGAGTTATTTGCTATCTGCATATCGTTTTTGAGAAGTGTCTGTTCAAATCTATTGCCCATTTTAAATTATATTGTTTGTTTTCTTTTTTATTGAGTTTTTAATACAAACTCTTTGTCAGCATATGGTAAGTAAATATTTTCTCTCAGTCTATGACCTTGCTTTTTCATTCTTTCAACTGTTTTTTCATAGAATAATACTTTTAAATTTTGATAAATATAGTCCAATTTGGCAATATTTTCTCTTCTGGATCATGTTTTTGATGTCATAGCTAACACAGGACCATCAAGATTTTCTTTTTTTTTCTTATAGTTTGATGTTTTACTTTTTTTTATTGTCCATTTTGAGTTAACTTTTACCTGAGAAGTGAGAGGTAGATCCAGGTTTTTTTAATCTTATTTTTTGCATATACATGTCCAATTGTTCCAGCATCATTTGTTGAAAAACCTATCCTATTTCCATGAGAGCATGTCCTTCATTTTCTAAGGTTCTTAGGGTTTCAGGTTTTACATTTAGGTCTCTGATCCATTTGGAGTTAATTTTTGTGTATGGGGATAGATAGGGGTCCTGTTTCAGTTGGAACTGGCATCCAATTCCTGAACAAATCCCAAAACCCACAGACCATAAGAGATAAGATAAACAAGTGGGACCTCATTAAACTGACAAGCTTCTGCAAAGCCAAAGAAACCATCAAGAGAGCAGGGAGACAGCCCACATACTGGGAAAAAGTATTTGCCAACTCCAGGTCTGACAAAGGCTTAACATCTTGGATCTACTAGGATCTCACATGTGCTGAACAGAAAAAAACAAACAACCCCATTATAAAATGGTCAAAAGATATGAACAGACACTTCACAAAGGAAGACATCCGAGCAGCCAATAGACACATGAAGAAATGTTCAACCTCACTAATCATCAAGGAGATGCAAATCAAAACCACACTGAGATACCACCTAACTCCAGTC